AAAGGACAAAAAGGTTAACATTTACACCGACAGCCGCTATGCGTTTGCCACAGCCCATATACATGGGGAAATTTACCGGAGGCGGGGACTCCTCACCTCGGCTGGTAAGGACATTAAAAACAAAGAAGCAATAGTGGCTCTTCTGCAAGCCTTGTACTTGCCAAGAAAGGTCAGCATTATACATTGCCCTGGACATCAGAGAGACCAGGGGCCGATTGCTCAGGGCAATCGGATGGCAGATGAAACTGCCCATCAGGCAGTGGAAGGCACTTGTATTTTCTACACCTATTCAGACCATGAGGCTGAAATTGAGGCACAAACAAAGGAAGGAGATGTTCTTTTCACTTATACTGAACAAGATCTGGAACTCGTTTGGAAGCTCAACGCTACTTTGGACCCAGAATCTAAAATGCAGAAATATCAGGATCGAATCATACAACTGGTCCAGAAGGTAGTGAGAGACTGTGTCTCATGTTCCCTGGTGAATGCTACCAGATCAAAGGTTCCATCTGGTAAGAAAGAAAGAAAGACAAGACCAGGGACTGACTGGGAAGTAGATTTTACTGAGATCCTCCCAGAAAAATATGGTTATAAATATCTTTCGATGTTCATAGACACTTTCTCAGGGTGGGTTGAAGCTTTCCCCACCCGGAAGGAAACAGCCCAGACAGTGGTGAAGAAACTGATCAAAGACATTTTCCCTCGATTTGGACTGCCTAAGGTAATTGGGTCTGATAATGGCCCAGCCTTCATCTCCCGGGTAAGCCAGGGAATGGCCAAAGCACTGGGGATTAATTGGAAATTACATTGTGCTTACAGACCCCAAAGTTCAGGACAGGTAAAAAGAATGAATAAAACTATTAAAGAGACCTTAACTAAATTAGCTCTAGAGACTGGCACTAAAGACTGGGTGCAGCTCCTACCTCTAGCTCTATTTCGGGCTAGAAATACTCCTGCTATACACGGCCTAACCCCCTATGAAATCCTTTTTGGAGGACCGCCTCCTGTCCTCAATGTAACCTTGTCCCCCTTGCCCTCTTCTTTTGACAATCCCAGCCTGAAAACAAGACTCCAAGCCCTCCAGATCATCCAGAATCAGGCTTGGAGGCCCTTGGCTGCTGTCAACCGG